ATGACCTGAAAGAGATCAATGGGGGAAGGGAAGGGGGGTGAGAAACAATGGAAGGTGAATGAGAAGCCGCTTCCTTCTCAACCAAAAGGGCAAAGAGCATTCTCAATAAGCCAGGTAAGCAACAAACGTGGTTGTGAGGGAATATTTATGACAGCGGCAACTGTGTAACATCACTGAAGCATGCACAATGGGAGCAAGCTTTCTAGAAAATACGCCTACGAAGGAGACACGCAGTTAGGTCTAACTATCAATCATCTGGACACGTGAATAAATCTATAGTCAGTGGTCCATGTTCTGTTAAAATCAACTTCTACCAACTTTCTGCCCAGTAAATAAGCCATAAGACCACAAAAGCTAAAATACGTTATACACACTATCACAGTAATAATATCTCAACTACTAGACCAGCAAAGGATTGAATATTTAGATCTTACAGAGAGTAAAGTGTGTTTACAATGATGGGTTATATTCTCTGGTTGTTACATAGGTTTAAGAGCCCATCGCACTGAAACAATCAGATTTTTATGTGTTTGTTTGGGGTTTTATTTCATTTTATAATGCACATTCTTTAAATCAGTGGTTACCGATTCACAAGAGCACATCTATATGGACTATTTAAGTCTCCTCTCCCCTGGAAGTGTGTGTGTAACTCCTATTAATGCTAATGGGCGTAAAGCACACGTGTTGAGGAGAAAATAGACCCCTCACTGTGAAAATAAATGTGTTCAGTTATTTTCAGACACGATGCTGAAATCAAACAACTAAAAGTACATACTCTAAGAAGATAACATTATATAGCCTAACTGAAAATATCACCATTATTTTTAACTCCCTGGTCATAGACCCTGCCATGTTCTTCATGTTTCTGCCATTTCTTGTGGCGTAAAGACTATGACTGGACAGCATACCAGGAAGGGCCAAATCCCAAATATTTACAAAAGTGAACCAGCCCTCATCTCGCAGTCCTTGCCTTCACAAAGGATGCAAGGTTAGACCTCATGTCTTACATTTTCACTTAGGTCATATAACCTCTCTTTCCATCATATGGGTTAATAGCAGCAGTAATCTTTACAGGTCTCTAGAACAGTTCCTTAAAACAGAGGGACCTTGACAGGCTGGAGAGGTGGGTCTGTGCCAACCTCATGAAGTTCAACAAGGACAAGTGCAAGGTCCTGCAGGTGGATTGGGGTAATCCCAAGCACAAGTACAGGCTGGGCAGAGAATGGATTGAGAGCAGCCCTGAGGAGAAGGAGTTTGGGATGTGCCTTGATAAGAAGCTCAACATGGCCCAGCAGTGTGTGCTGGCAGCCCAGAAAGCCAATCATATTCTGGGCTGTATCCAGAGAAGTGTGGCCAGCAGGCAGAGGGAGGTGATTCTGCCCCTCTACTCTGCTCTTGCGAGACCCCACCTGGAGTACTGCATCCAGCTGTGGAGCCCTCAACATAAGAAGGATATAGACCAGTTGGAGCAAGTACAGAGGAGGCCACGAAGATGATCAGAGGGCTGGAGCACCTCTCCTATGAAGAAAGGCTGAGAGAATTGGGCTTGTTCAGCCTGGAGAAGAGAAGGCTCCGGGGAGACCTTATAGCACCTTCCAGTATCTGAAGGGGCCTACAAGGGAGCTGGGAGGGGACTTTTTGCAAGGGCCTGTAGTGACAGGACAAGGGGTAATGGGTATAAATTGAAATCAGGGAGGGTTAGATTAGATATCAGGAAGAAGTTCTTCCCAGAAAGGGTGGTGAAGCACTGGAACAGGTTGCCCAGAGAAGCTGTGGATGCCCCATCCCTGGAAGTGTTCAAGGCCAGGCTGCCTGAGGGTTTAAGCAACCTGGTCTAGTGGAAGGTGTCCCTGCCCATGGCAGGGGGGGTGGAACTAGATCTTTAAGGTCCCTTCCAACCCAAACCATTCTATGATTGTATGAAAACTGTGATGAATCTACCACAGTAAAAATTCCTATCACTTAAATTTTTACTTTAATGATTTGATATTCTGATGTTTTCTGCTCTGATCAAAATAAATGGAGTCAATTCTGCCTGGTCCAACAGGTAAGAAAAATTGCTTATATAGTAATGCAAAACTCAAAGACACTGTGCTTTATTATAATACAAATATAATTGCAACTTTTTTTTTCTGACAGAACCCATATTTTATGAATTTACAGCTGATCTAATGTGCTATTTGGAACAGTCATGAGAAAAGAAAGGTTTTAAAAAGGATGCAGTATAAATGGAGCATTAATACTTTTGTTGAGTGTATTTAGGGTCTCTGTAAAGTGACCTGCTGACTTTCTAATGTGGGTAATCACACCCATCTTCCCCAGTCGGAGAGATGCACCTTCAACTAAGTGGATGCTACTGAGTTATCAGTCAGGCAGGGATGAGTTCTTCCAGTGATGAGGCCTTTTCAGAAGTTGATGCTGTAGGAGACAGGTAGAGTGTTATTGCTGAAAGGTCGACTGTCACAGCTCACTGCCAGGCTTCGCAGTTTCCCTTCACTGCTGGGTCAAATCAGACAGCTACTTGCTACCAGGTGCTGCATGGGCCAGCTCCTAGCCCCTTAGCCCCAGCCACGTGCTCACTCTTCTACTCTCCTGCTGAGTCAATTCGTGGAGAAAAATACTCCAAGGAAAACAAACAAACAAACCAACAAAAAAATACTTCGCTGGGGATCCATCTCCCTCCCCACAATGTGGGTGGTGACGAGCACTGCTACTGGCACAAAACTTGGGCAGCGAGGGATATGGCAGGGACGGCTGGCTGGCAGGGGCAGAAGGACTGCCCCTTTCAACCTGTCAGACCAGCCCCATCGTAGCCCAGAATCAAAACCATACAAAAAGGACAGTCAAAGGAGGACCCGGGCTGAGCCAAGGAGTGGGCCGATGTCTGCACACTGAAGTGAAGAGAGAGCCTTAAAGGTTGCCATATTTCTGCCAGACACTTCCAAAAGCGCATGTGCTTCCAAATGCTGCGAATTCCCCTGTGCCTCATGCCTGAGGAGTGATGGAATTCCATTCTACGCATGGAATAACTCATCAGAGAGCTCTTTACGGACTGGCACAGAAGATGAACCACTGAAGAGGCTGTTACTCTACAAGCCCTCGGTTCCAGGCTCCTGAGCTGCAAAGTATTTCTGCACCTCACATAAGGCTTTACAGCGAGAAGTGTGTTGGAGCGTATGTGAGCATCTTTCTTTTTAAAATAAAAAGCAGCCACTAACAACACAGCAGCCCTGGTAGTATCTGAAGCTGTTGCAGCCCAGACCACCTCTCCTAAATTCAGTACAGGAATTACTACAGAGACTGATACTGCCAAAATGAACCAGGCAACTAATTAATGAGCTCCTTCATTCATTACGGAAGAGGAAGAGGGGTGGCGATGGCCCACAACCTGTCAGCAGCCCTGTGGATGGACATCCGTTGGCGTGTGTATGGAGCTGAGCTGGAGGTCTGAGGCACTGCACAGGCAGAGCATGCAACATCCATGAAGCGGAGCACTTTATGTAACACTGATCTGGACTCGCACAAATAAATACTGTTGAATGACTCTCTTCTCTTTTTTCTTTTTCAAGTAATAGAAGCCTGTCTTTCTTTTTGATCTGAATGTATCACTGTGACTCATTTTGCAAGTTGAAGTCTGATTATACAGAGGAAAGGCCAAAAACTTAAATATTACTTCTTCTGCATGGAACACTAAATCTATTTTCTCCTGGGTGAGCTTGCAGGGATAAACAAACCTATGAATGATTTGGTGTATGATATGCAAAGAGAGACACTTCTACAGCCTGTCTAGACTCCCAGACAAGATCACACTGCACTGTCAAAGACATTTCCATAGCCTGTCGTATCACTTGGAAGACAGAAAAACCACCTCTTCTGAAGAGTCATGAAAAATAAATAAAAACAGCCTGACCTGCCAGTGTCACAGTGGAAATCTGAACACAGTAACCTTAGACAATTTAGAAATTATGCTAACAATACAGCAAGAAGTTTCAGCAAACATTTGTGAGGAAAGGCAACTCCTGCAAAAGCGAATGCAATCCAAAAATATGAGTCATGCACAAGCAATTTTGCTATGGGCCATAAAATCACTTTATGAGAGTTACAGATAATTCTGTATGTATTCTATAATGTTTCCCTACTGTGTAGAGATGGATATCTCAGTATCCTATCACAGATAATGATGGAAAACAAATTCTCTACATAAAAGCTGATTGCTCAGAGATTCACCCTTAACTGTTCCAAGGGATTGTAATGCTGACAGAACACTTTATACCGCATTCATCAACAAAGAGGTAGATTCCATCAGTGCCAAACACACTGCAGTTTAGATGGTTTTTATAAGATGTGGCAGGGTGAATTGAGAGCGGCCTTAGACACAGAATACGCATCCTGCTATTTCTCAGCACCTACATACTCTTTATCACACATGCACCTACCATCCTCCAAAATGACACCTCTCATTTCCTCCCGTTAGTACTTTTGCACATATTCAGACATATTCAGCATTATTCAGTATTAAAAGAACAGATGTATTCTGTAGATGTCATGCTGAGAAAAACCTACAGCATGAAGCCAGTCGCGAAATAAGAGATATGGGAGTATAAAAGGTGACCCCTTCAGGACCAACTTCAGAACAACACAGCTTCTTTCTGCACCTCTGTTCTCCTCTTTGTGTTCCTTTGTAACTTTTTCCAACTGTACCCATAGAACCACTAAAAAAAAAACCCAACCGCAACCCACCCTCTTAACAACACTGAGAACTTGAAGAAAAAAAAAAAAAAAAGACTTCTCATATGAGACTTTAACTAGTTACCCCTTTTGCAAGGTAGATTTATGACTAACACACTGTTGGGAACCCAAAAATCAATGGGGAGTCTGCTGAAAGAAATCTGGCTTATTCTTTGGAGGTGTCCTACTTACATGATCTTTCCTCAGACTTGGATGTGGCATTCTCCAGAAGCCAAACTTTAAAAAACACCACAGCCAAGCAATAACAATACCTCTCCAACATCGTAGATCCATATGCGGCCTTCTGAATCACCAACTGCTACCTCCTTCCCAGCCTGGGCCCAGCGGACACGGTTGAGGGCAGAAGCTCCTTCTATGGTGACGCTGGCTGTGGGAACCTGTTGAAACAATAGGAACAGGAAGGACAATAAAATCACTCTGCCTGTGAATCCAGGGGTCAGTTCTGAACATCCTGCTTAGCTGGGTGAGTAACAAGTCCCTTGGCGTTGCTGAAAGTAACATACAGCCCTCCTCGAGGGGGAGAAAAAAAAGGGTTCATTGTTTCTTCGATCACATGTGCTAAAAAGAGGAAAGAGTAAGAGATTGTTTGGAATGAGCAGGGAAGACTTTTCCACAGTAAAGGACAGTAAATGAAACAGTTTTTTCCCCTTAACTTTGGAGACATGCAAAACCACATCTGCTTCTTTCTCAAAAGTCACTGACTTACAACCAAGAATCAACTGAGAGTAGGACTTGGCTTCAGTCCTGCCCTGGCTGCTGGCCTCTGACTCGGGCCCAGATAACCTGATGGTCAGCAGGCGCGCCCCTGTATTCGTTCTGACACATCCTTTTAAACCCACACTCACCTCTGCGGCTAGATGCAGAGGTCGAAACTGAGGTATTACATCAGAAAAGTCCTGAGCTAATCACTTCAGCACGAGGATGTGGCAGAAGCGAGAACGGCTGAGCTGACATTTAGGAACTCCTACAATATATTCCCACAATTCTCTTTTCCATCCCCAGGAGATGACTTCTGCTTTAAATACACCTGGATACTGTCTAATTTCCAACCCCCCCTCCCTGCCCCAAGTCAACCAACTTAACAGGTGATCCAGAAGAATACATAAAGATTCTGGTTAATGCGTGGGATGAATAAAGCAACGAACACGATCTCGGGAGAAGTGTTTGTAATCTAGGCTGGAATGAGGGCATCAAAAGATGCTGCAGGAGGAAGGAACTGTGTGGGTGTTTGTCCCAGATAGGTAAATCACTCGGTTGATTTAGGTCACCTCGTAAGACAAATGACGGTAACCTGCAAGTCTGCTAATGCTCCACCCAGCTACCTTTAATAGGAGAACCTGCCTGAGCAAGGAGCCTGGAAGCTTGGCAGGATGGTCGCCTAAACAAGGCTTTTTAGCTCTAATGATTTTTAGGTGAGAGCAAAGGGGATGGGATAGCTGCAAAAGCAGCTCCTCCACCTGTGGAAACTGGTCTCGGTCACACGGTGAACTGGGGACAAGGGGGTGTCCTGGGATCTATAAAGGGACATGGAATTGGGAGCAGTCTAGGCAAGAAGAGGTAGCTGGACAGGAACCAGAGCCCAGGCTACCTCTGGAGTGACAGGAATGACTTCTGCCCTCACTGCTGGCACAGTGCAGCAGAAGCAGGAAGAAAGCAGCTGGAAGGTGGTATTAAAGCCTGGTCTGAACATTGACAAACTGACAAGATTAATAAAACCAGTATTTTGCTGACTCCACCTCGGTTCTCTGGCTGTAGCTTTATATTGTAGTTGAGAGATAGGTCCAAAGATCCATGAGAAAAACAATTTTAAAACAAACATCGTATAGCTCCCATGCCGATACCCTTCTCCTCTACCGCCTTCTCTGTGTCACACAAGATGAGTGATGGTAGGAAGCTGAACCTTTGCAGACTTCATTTTGCAAAACCAGCCTGGCACCTCGAGCACAAGGAGCCTGCCAAGCTACAGCGTCACCTCCGGGTAGCATCCTGAGCCCCACATGTGACATTTCATTTGCGGAATGATGTAGAACTAAGGCTGGATAGCAATGAGAAAGCAGATACCATCCTCCCCCACCCCCTTTAAGAAGTCATTCAAATGCAAATAAGCTACTGGACTCATCTCCCCATTGTGCAAGGCCTAGGTCCTGTCCAAGGCACTATTACCCAAAAAAGCTGGCACGCTCCTCATCCCATGACTGTTACTGCTGGCTGGGCGAGAGCCAACGGCCTAAATCTGACATGGGGTCATTGACCCATGATAAAATCACAGTAGAAAACAAGCAAGTTTTACTCCTGTGATAATTGATTTCTAAAAAAAAAAAAAATAAAAAAAAGCGGTATTTTTATTCCAGCCAAAATTAATTTCATAACATTTGGAAATGGGTTTCTTCAAACAACAACTAAATGCCACATTTCAGAAGACTAACCCACTAACCAGCTATGTTTCTCAGAAAACTGTACATCAAAGATATTTGTTTCATATACACAGCGTGTATTTAAGGCACTGAATTTTCACAAAATCTTTCAGAAGGCTGAAATACATAACTCGAGCTGGAGCTTTTTTTTGTCAATACAGCATTCTTTCAGTGTTCCACATAAAAATAAGCAGCATGCATGCCGCAGACACAAGACACAACCCAAGCTTTTTTTTTTGTTTGAAACCCGATGGTTTTATAAAATCCTGTTACTATTCCACAAAGCTAGCTAACAAAATAAAAAGCAATAATGAAACAGTCTTTAAAAATCTAAATAAAATGCCTCTTCTCCAGTGATACGGAGAGAAATATAATCAAACCACAGTATCTTAAAATAGGTTTGTCTGTTCTCAATAGTGATAGGTTAAATTACACATGCCTATTTTAGATTTCAAAGGTAAGAGTTTATTTTATAATGGTAGCATTATGTTTTTAAAATTGCATTTGAAATACTTTATGAATTCTCTGAAGTTGGTGCTTGTCAGATTTTTAACTATTTTGAAATGAGATTTTAACACGTAACATTAAGAAAGATGCAGTCAGAAAAACCTGCATTATAAGTATATATCTTTTATTTTTTTACTTCTACTACTCACACTGTCAAAACCTGCTTGCAAATACATCTGGTATGTGTTCCTAGAAATAGGCACCATCTTCACACTTTCAAAGCTAAGGTACTGGCTACAAAAAACACCCCCAGCACACTTGTGAATGGGATACAACACAGCAGAAACAAGCATTTTTGTAAGTCAGTTTAGTATCAGTTCATAGATAAATAAGACTCATCAATAACCTAGAGACCTTTCCCAGTCTTGATAAAAAAATATTTCATGGACACACAGGTGAGAAATCGGCACTCGGCATCACGAAACTATCTGCAAACCTCACTACACTCCTCTGTAAAAATAATACTCGGTTTGCAAAAGAATGAAGCCGGGGGGGAAGGATTTTTTTTGCCTTTTAAGGTTTTTATATTCATGTATCAAATATAAAATAAAACATGATGACTTCCATTGCTCTTACAAAAACAATTTCCAGTATCCACAGATCAACATCAAGCACACAAAAACCCTAGTTACTTTACGCTGAGATCTTGAGAATAATTAGATTGATTAACTCCACAGTACAGTCAAATGATTTTAGTTATTTTGATCAGAAAGCGTCTAGCTCTCAGAGGAAATGAATAAATATGGGGAGTAACACTAGTGGAAACTGTTACAGTTGAAAAAATTGGAGGTAGCATATCGTAACTAAAACCAGGTATTTTCTTAATTGGTTCGCAAAATAATAGCTAAATAATAATGTGGCTGATTTCCCAAATTAAACAAAACCAGGCCTCATTAATAACAATCATATCTAGTTCTTACAGGGATTTTTATCAATAGCTAGCAGTTAACACATTAAAATAGCTGTCATTTTCTACCGTCTTCACAAATACTTTGACATCACATATCTAAAAGTAATAATAACCTAAAAAATAGGTGTTTCAAGAATTCATATTACAAGCGCAGAAGCGCTGACAAGGACTTTTTCTTAGCAAACAGCACTGCAGACTGCAGTGGCGTAATCAATTACAAAAATCTTGAAAATTATAAACTAATTATGACCTACCAGATAGAGGGTGAAAGCAAACAACGATCACTTTCAGTTACGAGGATTAAGAGAACCGCTTGCAGTTCTCCCTTCCCTGGTACTTTTGCTGCTTCTCCCTTGTAACAAAACCTCACGTCTATCTGTCAGTTTATCATTTACAGAGATTTTTTAATTCGTTTCACCAATGCTCAGTAAGGAAACCAAATGGAATTTCTGCTTCCAGAGACCCAAGTTCTGTTCTCATAAAAATACAAAGCTCAGATACCACGGAAATAATTCCAGTCTGATCCTTACATGAGAGCTGATTTTGACCTCTCGGAATGGAAATCATTTGTGAAATCAGGGGTGGCCTTGTATGCAGAAGAAAACAGGATGGAGCTTGAACTTAGGGGTTTTTTTCTGATGTTCCTATGTATTTATATGTAAACACACTGAAAATATATCAGCAATTTTCTACGTACAGCCTTATTATTGATGGGAATGGGATCAAGCGGTCCATACTAATTTTTTGGAAAGAAATTATGCTCTCATTGAGTTAAATGGCAAAACATCAGTTGATTTCAAGCAGAGCAGGATTTCAACCCTGGTGTTTGGGGGGAAAGGGTTATTTTTTTTTTTTTCTTCTTAAAATGCTGGGTTTTATGCTCTGTGTTTAAGCCTGCATTAATGAGAACACCTGAAGGATATGTCCCTCCCTCCCCAAAATAAATTCCGAGGAGACTCTTCCTGTATATCCTCCAGCTGTATGTGCTCTAATTAAAAAGGCTGCGCTGCTTCCTGCTCAGAGCACTTCAAAAGGCCTCACTGCTCCCCTTGACAACGCAGCGCCCGGTGCTGGTTCCTCTTACCTGTCCATGCTTATTTATGGCAAGCACCACTCACTAGTAGCCATAAACTGCGCCCGTATTTTACTGTCTGAAATGTATAGCATGTTTACATGAAAGGCATATTAATGATCAAACTAACCCTTAAAAAAAAAGTAAAAAATAGAGTATATGGGGGTAAAAATACTGCCGCTTGCTCTTCGATCTTCTCTGTTTTGGAAATAAAAAGAAACTGACAGTTAATACGTGACTTTTTTTTTTTTTTTTTTTTTACAGTTTGTTCTTAGATTTACATGGCAGTAAGGAAAACCACGCACGATTGAGTTGTGGAAATACTTTGATTCTTGTGCTGAATACTGGCCAGTTCCTTTTAATGTCTCTGTTTGACATGTACAGCGTGTTTGCGGGAAAGGTGTGTTCGTGATGCCGGCCACCTAAGGCTGACCTCGAGCAACACGACAGGTTTTCTCAAAACCATTTCTGGGG